TGACTTTTTTAGTCATGCAGGATAAAATGCATTGTTTCAGTGTAAGGATTGTCATCTCTTAGACTGTCCATGTGATATTATTTGTTCAATAAAACTTCCTTATGTATTTATATTTTATAAATATGTCATGTGCCTTTTGGTTTCTGACTGTTAATGACCACAATAAAGCTATTTTTATTTCCTTTTGGTACAATTCTATGATTCTGATTTCCCAATTTTTATATTATTTCTAGTTTGTTACCTTAAAATGTGGTATTCTAGAGCATGAGAGTAGCCACTGTCTAAGATAATAACTGAAACCTCCAATCATGCAGATTGTTATAGACAATCTTTCATCAGTTAGGTTTATTTTGAATCCCCACACCAAAAGTGAGAAATTAAATTGGCTATTGTAATGAATGGTTTTAATTCATACTTTCTTTTCCTCTGTTAATGGAACTGAGAACACAAAACGACAGAGTTCTTTGTCGAAGCCTCCCCAACATCATTTTTTCAGATCTTCTCAAAATGAAATTTGTGCTAAAATGAACACAGTGGTCACGTCTTTCATTTGATAAGATACTTGAGGGTCATTTTCCAATAGCCTTGGCATGCACATTGCTACCCTGATAAAGCTTGAACAAATAGTTCCCCTTTTTACCAAGTTTTACTATCTACAAATATTTAATTTTAAAATGAATATGGTATTGAATCCAAATGGCTTAAGATGGCTTCCAATCAAAACATAACATCAGTACCAGCAATGCACATAATAATACATATACAGTATATGCATATAAGCTAACAATATATACCTTACAATTGCATGCCTATTTTCAAGAGTGCAAATTGCTGAGTGAACATTACCTCTGTGTTCATTTCAAATAGGAAAAAAATATTTGGAGAAATTTTGCTTATCTTATTGTGTGCATTGGAAATGGGTATTGTACATTTCAAAGTTTTAATGCCTCATATCAAAATCTGTAGCTGTCCACAATTGTTAGATTTCAGCTCGTAGCAGCCCCAGCCATTATAACCAGTTGTAAGCTGAGTCTGATTCTCTACTCCATTTTGTAGCTTGTAGAGGATTTCACCTCATTTCTAAATCTATTGCTATAATTGACTTCAAACGATCATTTAAGGTCATATACTTGCTAATTTTAGCCCATAGTCAGAGTCCTTTTCCAAATTTAACTTATATAACCAAGACTGATGGCAAAATTTAGATTCATGTGGTTTTTGATTGAACTTATTCTGCTAATACGTTAGTGTTTTGAAATAAATCTCATATTTAATTGCCCACAGAAATATTTTTGTACAAGTTCTGGCAATGTAATAGATTCCTTTAGGGAACCACATGAAATAGGGAAAGTGAGACAGAGAAATATATTGTTGATTATATTTTGTACTGGCAATGAGATTTCAAACTGTTGTGTCTAGTTGTGTAATCGGAAGAAAAAGAAAGAGCTAAACTTCTGAGGAAGCCACTTAACCAAGAATAGCAGAGCCAACAGACTCAAGGTGTGAAAAAGTTAACCCTATAATACTAGAGTGATCAGTTAAAGTTCTTTTTTTAAAAAAATAAAGTTTTATTTGGGTTTTCACACACAAAATACAAGTAAAACATCTTTTTTGAAAATAGCATGGTCCCGGGTTGAACTTCTTTATACAGACACAAAACTCAATTTCATGCTCCTTTTTGTATTCTATTCCATATCTTATACTATTTTACATTTTCTATATAGTTTTTCCCCTCTTTTAATTTTCTCAATTTTATTTTGATTATCTCATCTCAATTCAAATCATTGTATTTATACTTTTGTCTGTTCTGTTTCAATTTCATATTATCTTTTCTCATTAAACAAATTTTCTCCTGTAGTTACTAGTTGGAGTATGACACCTTTATATCTTTTAATTACACCCATTCAACTTTTATTTAAACTTCAATATATACCTTAAGTTTATGACCTTCAATATAATACATAATACATAACTTCCAATCGAATTCTGCTTGGCACATTCTTGTAATACACACTATATTCTTAAAAAAAAAAAAAAGAAAGAAAGATTGTAAATATATGTAATTATAAACCCTCATTCCATTCCAGTTCAGTTCTATCATTAATAATCATTAAAACCATAACATCTTTTAACACTTCTTTTCAATTAAATATCATACTTCCTTAAAAACACATATAATCTCCATAATTAATTTTTCCCTTATTTCTCTTCACATATGTTTTATAAATCATTAAATATACCCTTTGTTACATTCATTTATTGACAAACATTCCACTGAATTACGATAGCTATTTTATCAGACATTTTAATCATACATTGTTTCATATTTTCTAAAATTATTTCTGCTTCTAATATAACCTTACTATCTTATGTACCCTTGCAGAATTCCTTTTTCCATTAAGTTTTCACCCATTATCTCTAAATAGGCCCTGTTTCTCTATATTTTGCTTCTTTCCTTTATAACTTCTTTTCCTTTCTTTCTTCCCTCTCATCTTCTCCCTCCCCTTTTTACCCCCTTGTCTCTCTACTTCTAATTCTTCTGCATTTCCCTCTTCTGTTGCTTTCTGATTTTATACTTATTTTTCACTCTATTTTTTTTTTTTTGGAGTTGTTTTTCCCAATCTTAAACTTTCCATTCTCTTCCCCCCCCGTTTCCTTTTCCCCCCCATCTAAGATTACTTGTTCATTAAAGATGGCTTCTTCTTTGTCGCAATCTTCTTGTTCTGCAGGCATTTCTTGTTGTTTCTCATAATTCCAAATCTCCATTTCTAAAAACTGAAATACAAAGCCAAAAGAACCTCTCCCTTCTTGTGCATCTTCTTTGTACTTTTTAAGTTCTACTTTCAGTTCTTCTAAAAGTGGAGCCATTTTAAAAAGTTTTAAACAACCACCCGATTGATTTTAGTCATTCAAAACAATAACCAAGAATCCAGAAATCATCAAGTAATCCAGATGGTCCCGAGTTATATCTTCTTATTTCTTTTTTGACTTTCTCTTCCTGGGGTTTTTGTTGCGATATTTCAGTTAGAATGTATCTTTTGGAAGTCTTGTTGAGATTTTGCTGTAAGTTCTTTTTTAATTCCAGGCAGTCTCCTCCCTTCCAGATCCTACCCTTTTATTCTTTTTCTCTCCTTTCCTGTTTTCAAAAGCTTTTAATTATCCAGAAATCTTTATTATCCCTTTGACTTTTTATTTTCAGCATTAAATGCCTATTGATGTCAAAGTGGATTTTTTTCCCAATTTCTTGCTTTAAGTCTCTTAGCTGTCAGTATAGGAAAAGGAGAAAACCAAATCTTTTCCCTTTTCTCTCTCCTTTGCAGCTTAAAAATCTTCTTAGGGAACAATGTTATTGTTTTTTAACGGTTTCAATTCCAGGGTACCTTATTTGTTGCTTTTGCTGTTTGACCCGGTCAACCAAAACTTTCTCATCTTATCTTCCTCCTGCACATTCTGTTCCAGTCGAGTTCTTCTTTGTGGTGGCCATTTCTGACCACCGCTGCAACTGCCTTCGGGAAAGGGAGTAATGGCTAGCTGGGGAGAAGGGATGCGGCTCTCCTTGACCCTGCTGGCAGTCTCCCCCCTCTTCACCACCTCTACGGGGTGGCTTAGCCCCAAAACCAGCCGGCTCGGGGCGCTCCAGCGGCGAGCATGGATCGAAGTCTCGCAGAGATGAGGTTTCTGTCTGTCGCTGAAGAAGCTCAAACCGGAAGTCTCAGTTGAAGTTCTTTTATTTCTAAACTTTGCTTTTACATTGGGAAACATCCTAAAGTGGATTAAATAGGTGCACCATGTTTTCATATAAAATTTTCATAATTTTGGCAATTAATAATTTTTAAATAATTTTGCTTGAAAAAATTTAGAATATAGGTAGTCCTTGTTTAGCTATATTTAGCATAAAACTAAGTGGAAAATCATGTGACTGCTTAAGATTTTACTGCAGCTTTCCTCCCCCCCCCTGCACTCCCCCAACCTTTAGAATGCTACCTAAGTCCTGGGACAATTAGCAAGAAAGGAATTAATGTTTTTATTTTCATTCATTAGGCAGGAAGGGTTTGCAAGAGAAAAAGCAGGCACACATGGGAAATACATATTAAAAGGAATGCATATAGCTCCAAGTGTGTTAGGCAAACAGCTTGCACCAGCACATTCCTTTCAATGAGTATTCCCCATTATGTGCTTGCTTTCTCTTTTTGTCCCTTCCTCTCCAATCTCTCTGCTCTGTAAAAGGGGAAAAAAAGAAAAAGGTGAGGCGTAGGATAATACATACTAATTGACTAATAACAGAATAATAAGATTTGGAAGGGACCTTGGAAATCTTTTAGTCCAAACAGGAAACCCTACATCATTTCAGGCAAATGGTTGTTCAATCTCTTCTTAAAAACTTCCAGTGTTGGAGTACCCACAACTTCTTGAAGCAAGTAGTTCTACTGATTAAATGTTCTAACTATCAGGAAATTTGTTCTTAGTTCTGGTTTGGTTCTATTCTTTTGAATGGTTTTCATCCATTGCTTCTTGGCCTGCCTTGAGTGCTTTGGAGAATAGCATTTTTTCTCCAGAAATTTGTTTTGTCTGTATCAGGGATAGTATTTTAAAGATTAGGCTAGAAGACCTAATTTAAATTCAGTATTCATCATGTATTTGTAGTAGTTCTGTTCCTGTTCTTGAATAATTATATTCTGCATAGAGGGACTCCATAGATAAGATGGTTTCACTATATAGGTTGAATAATGGAATATCAGACCTGTTGTTGGACAATTAGTATTAATTTAGATGAGTTATGTATTTAAATAAGATTTCCTACTTGATCACAGTCACTATATCTCAGCCTAACCTAGTGTGTTTTGAGCACAAATTAGATGGGGTTCTAGTATCTGCTACCTTGAACTCCCTGAGGAAAGATATGGTACTATGAATGTGATATTAAATAAATTACATATTTGGCCTATACACTAAATGTTATAGAACAGTGAAATTCTAATTGACTTTTTTTCCTTCGGTAGATGCCACTTCAAATGAACAACAAGTCCTCTTCTGTCAGAAATTACAGCAGTGCTGTGTATTATTTGATTTCATGGACTCTGTCTCTGACTTAAGGAGCAAAGAAATTAAAAGAGCAACACTGAATGAATTAGTGGAATATGTTTCTACAAATCGTGGTGTGATTACTGAATCAGCATATTCAGAAATTGTAAAAATGGTAAGTAAGTCACGTGAATGCCATTGAAAGGATTTAGAAATGAAATTTATTGAAGACGTTTCTGTCTTCTGAATTTCCTTTTTGTGGTGATTAGATAGTGCTTTTGCTCTTAATCTCCTGTAGTTAAATTTTAATATTAAAATTGGTCTAAAGGGTAATTATTTTTTCATACTAACAATTAACGGTCAATTATTTATTATATAATTGAAACAAGTTTCATACTGATGCTATTTTTTCACCTGGATTCAATTTAAACACTAGTAGGACCCACTGGAAACTCTGATAATATTAAATGGGAAACAAAGCATACATTCAGAAAAACTGAAATAAAACTGAATATTTTATATGTGAATATATACCTTCCCTCAGTTCTGTTGTACTGCATTTTAGTTCCTAGCTTCTCATAGTATCACTTTGGTTCTTCCTTGTTCAGTGGCATCCAAACCCCTTTATATTTGCACTATCCAAGTTTAGTTTTAGTAGTGTGATAGCTAAAAATCAATGATACAGTTTGTTATTACATTCAGGAGGAAAACAATGAATGTGATAATAAGTCTTACTGTGGTTTAAAGAAACAAGGAGCCTTATTGTATAATTTGGAAACATGAAAATCTGTGGAACTCTCTTATCTGTATTATATACATCTTTTGATTTTCCATGATCATGCAGCTTATCAGTCTTCAATTTGGCAAGAAATTAGAACAAATCAAAATACTCTTCCTCACTCACAATATTTAAGTGTAGCTTTTGGTCATCATAATGTTGCCTGTGCTGGTAGATATTAAAGTTTTTCAAGGACAAGATGGAACCTTCCCAAACCCCAGAATTCAGTCCTCCCTTCTGGGAGTCTGGTGGTATAGAACTAAAACAAATAAAAATAAAGCTAGCTAGCTACTTGTGGGGTTAAATAAAAGTTCCTAATATTTCCTTCTCAGAAGTATAGAGTATTTGGATCTGAAGTGCTGCTTGTTTAAGGAACCACTGATAGGTACTGAACACTGTACCCATACTGACGTTTTCCTACTTGGGATCTATCTGACCTGTTCCTTCAGAAACTGTTGTCTCGTTGTGGCAGCTTAGTACAACCAGAATCAGTTTTGTCCCCAAACTGGTTCTGTAAATGACCATTTTGGAAGACAAAGTCATGGAATGATCAAAGAAAATAATTAGAATTGCACTTTGCTTATTTAGTCATCCCACAGAAGTTAAACCAGGATTGGCAGGAATCTAGAAATGGATATTATAACTTGAAAAGATTTCCTGTCAGCTGCCCATGTCTTTTAGATTCTAAAAATCTTGTTTGTTATATTTTGCTACACTAGCCAAATCAGTTTGTAAAGGTACAGCTGACGTTCTTTGAAAACAGTTGGCTTTCAGTAGGCAAAGCTGAACTGAAGGACTGCATATTCATGCATATCTGTATATGTAATAGAATAACAGAGTAGGAAGGGACCTTTGAAAATATATTGACTCCCTCTTCTTTGTGGCAACTTCTTAGATATTGGAACCCTGCTATCATATCACCTCTAGTTTTCTTTAATTAAACTCGACATACCCAATTCCAGCAACCGTTCTTTATGTTTTAAACTCCAGTCCCCTTATCATCTTTGTTGCTCTTGTCTGTGCCCTTTCTAGAGTCTCAAAAATCTTTTTTACATCGTGATAGCCAAAGCTAGATGCAGTATTCTAAGTATGATCTTACCAAGGCATTATAAAATGGTATTAATACTTCATGTCATCTTGATTCTATTCTATCCTTCTGTTAACGCAGCCTAGGACTGCATTGGCTTTTTTGGTAGCTGCAGCACATTGCTGGCTCATACTTAAGTGATTGTCCACTCGGATTCAAGATCCATCTCACAGTTACTACTATTGAACCAGGTACCACATCCATACTATATCTGTGCATTTGGTTTTTCTTGCCTAAATGCAGAATCTTACTTTTTTCACCATTGAATTTCATTTTGTTAGATACCTCCCAATGTTCAAGTCTGTCAAGATTCTTCTGTATCTTAAGCCTATCTTCTGGAATGTTGTCTATTCCTGCCAGCTTGGTGTCATCTGTAAATTTGATCTATCCCCTCATCCAAATCATGTAATGTATAATTCCTCTACTGGTACTAAATCTTCAATGAATTAACTGCCAAAAAAAGAAAGAAAAGAAAGTAGAGGCTGATAGACCATTTCTAGCTTGATGCTTCATATATTCCCGTACACAGATGGTCTGCGCAGGGGAATTATGGTCAAATGGTCTGTTCTAAATACGTAGCAGCATTGATTTCAGCAGTTGAGAAAAGTTTTTGACATATTTGAGCTTTAGTAAACTACATTTCTATACTAAAATTAATGGTAATGTTTTCATTTATTTAAATGGCTCTGAATTTTAGACATTTCACAGAAATCCTGGTGGTTTTTTTTTTCAAACATGGCAGTAGTCAGGTTTCATTGTCATTACTTGTTAGTTTCTGCCCACTGAAATAGATGTGCTGAAATACTGTTGTCTTTTACTAAAGGTGGCTACTTTGAAAATAAATACCAGCTAATGATGGGAATAGTTGTTAATATTTGTTTTGGTTGAACTGAAAATCTTTCAAGAAGCTGCTGTTGGTGGAATATTTTGGGAGAAGTGTAGTCTTTAATGGAACTTCATTTAAATAGAAGGAAGCATTCAGTGGGGTATCTCAAGGTTTGGTTTTAGATCCACTATTCTTCAACATCTTCATAAATGATATAGATCAGTGGTTCCCAAACTTTTTCAGTCCACCGCCCCCTTGGTACTACAAACTCATCTTCGGTGCCCCCCACCCAGGGGTGGGATTTAAATTTCGGTGGGCATGGCCTAATTTGAGGGTGTGGCTTGCTGGTCACATGACTGGGTGGGCGTGGCTTGCTGGTCATGTGACTGGATGGGCGTGGGTTGCTGGTCATGTGACTGGCTGGCATGGCTTGCTGGCTGGGCATGGCTTGCTGGTCACATGATGTGATTTGGTGGTCATGTGACTGGGTAGGCGTGGCCAGGTGACTGGCAAACTAAATACAAGTGGTCCTCACTTAATGGCCGGTTGTTTACTTTTCAAACATGCTGACACTGCCACGTTCTAGGTGCTGGCTCCACATGTCCACCCCATTGAGCCCACTGCATTGGAGGGACCTGCCCAAGCAAGTCAAGTCAATGGGGTGAGCCTGAGAGAGGGAAAGAGAGAGAAAGAAAAGAGAGAGAAAGAAGGAAGAAAAGAAAAGGGAAAGAAAGAAAAAGGGACAAAGAAAGAGGGGGGGAATGGAAGGAAGGGACAGAAAGAAAAAGAAATAAAGAAGGAGGGAGGGAGGGAGGAGAAAGATAATGAGATATCTATTCTAGTCCAATCACCTGCTCCAGCAGGGTTAGAAGGGAGTGCGTGTGTGTGTGTGTGTGTGTGTGTGTGTTTTCCTTGTAATTTACCAGTACATTTTGGTTTTGCCTTCTTCAGAATTGGCACTGTAATACACTGGGGAAAAGTAATTTTTAGGGTGGAGATCTGGTCCAATGGATCCTGCTTAAAGCCTCAACAAAATGTGAGAGCTTCCTGATAGTCTTGACCATGTTTTGTCCACAAAACCTTTAATAGAAGCCAAAGATGTTTCAATGTGCTGGCAAAGATGTTTCAATGTGGAAAAGGGCCTCAGTCTAAACTAGGCCTCATTTCAATCAGATGCATCAGGTCTCTCTCTCTCTCTCTCCCTCCCTCCATCCCTCCCAGACTGGCTTTGCTTTACTTTCCCAATGTGCCTGCGGGGCTGGTGCTTCAAACATGGATAGATGGATGGATGGATAGAGAGAGAGAGAGAGAGAGAGAGAGACAGACAGACAGACAGACAGACAGACAGAGACAGGTAGGTAGGTAGGTAGGTAGATTGGTAGATAGATAGGTAGATAGGCAGGCAGGCAGACCTTTTGGATGGATGGATGGATAGGTAGGTAGGTAAGTAGGTAAATAGATTGGTAGATAAGTTGGTAGGTAGGTAGGTAGATCTATATTGGTAGATAGGTAGGTAGGTAGGTAGACAGAAAGACAGGCAGGTAGGTAGGTAGGTAGGTGGGCAGGCAGACAGACAGACATTTTGGATGGATGGATAGATAGATAGAAAGATAGATAGATCTATATTGGTAGGTAGGTAGGTAGGTAGGTAGACAGAAAGGCAGGCAGACAGACAGGCAGACCTTTTGGATGTGTGTGTGTATGTATGTATGTATGTATAGACAGACAGATAGAAAGAAAGAATGCGACAGCGGTGGCACTTTGAGAAAGTAGAGCAAAGCCAGAGTGGGAATTGAAGTCCACACAAGTTGCCAAGGTTGAGAAACATGGGCTGAATATATCAACCCAGCCATTCTGGTTTAGAGTTTAGCATGCTGTTTGATTCCGGCTTAGTCAGTGAATAAACCATGGCTAAGATCTTCCTGCTCCTTAATGCAGCTGCCCCTCTGCCCCTTCTGCAGCCCCCTGCAGCTGCCCCTCTGCCCCTTCTGCAACCCCCTGCAGCTGCCCCTCTGCCCCTTCTGCATCCCCCTGCAGCTGCCCCTCTGCCCCTTCTCCAGCCCCCTTTGGCATCCAATTTTGCAATGCCAACCTCCCCGGGGCAGTGATGCAGCCGACCTCACCCTCTTTGCTTCAACCCAAGGTCCACTTCCATCGGGCCAAGCAAGGGGAGGTATTCTGCACATGCTCAGAGACTCCCAACTTCAGTGAAGTGTTCCGCCCATCTTTATGCTCCGCCCGGGAGGAGGAAGGCGTGTGGAAGCAGCCCAGACCGGCGGAGGCAGAGGGAATGATCGCTTGGAAACTAAGCAAACAAGCAAGCGCAGGGCTTGGTCGGAAGAAACGGGCTGCAGAGGGAGGCTAGTTTCTAGGTCTGGGATGGCCGAACCGAGCTGAGCCACGCGCCTTGGAGAGCCGCAGCTGCAGCCACCCGCATCCTGCGCGCAAGCCCGGCTGGCTGGAGAGGCGGAGGCCGGGCGGGCA